CAGGACTTAACCGGACCTACAACTCTTATACACTGAAACCCTCGCTTCTTATACTTGCTTGAAGGCATCTTGCAAGTTTTAAGTGAGGCAATCTCTAGAGTTAGAACTTACCTCAAGCATACATAGTTCAGACAATGGAAAGTCCACTGTGTTACCTATGTACTGATATCTATCGACTTATTCTTCTTTTAACATTTTCAATACTGATTGACAAGAAATCTCGGGCGGTTTCTCTCTCTGTCTCTCTCTCTCCTCATTTGTTATCAATGTGGCTCGTCGCAAGACCTCCGCTGCAACTGTGAGTACGACGATCATGCTTGTTCGTAATGCCTGTTATCTAACCTTCGAAAATGCTTATTTATAGCTACAACTTGAGTTTCGTAGCCATGGTTGGCCACTAGAATCCGAATGTCGCTCTTCATTATGATAATAAATGTCTTCTTCTCCTTGGTGTTTACGAGGCGACGAGTAAACGCGCTCTTACGAATGAAGTCGTGCTCGTACTCCTCTACCGAGCGGCCTCTTGCTGAAGTGCATATAACTCTCGCTCCATTCTCTCGCGAAAATGGTGGTAAAACATGGCTTCCAGAATCTACTTGAGCCACTCTCATGTCAGCTCATAATGTTCCTCCTTCCCAAACGCCAGTAGTCGTTCAACCAATCTCTGAAATTGGTCTACGACTATGGAATGTCCCCGCTCTGCGGGTGGGTTCGGAGTCCTGCGAGGCGGCTGTCTGGATAGCCACTAACTATTGAACTAACACTGTATAGCCGATTAAAAAATAGCTATACTATACTTAGCAAAATTTTAACAAATTTTCAAAAACACCTAGCTTGGCTAGAGTTTCGGTTTATACTTAATTATTCTATGTTCTGACTAGAGTTCTGATTTAGTCTAGAGTTGGACTTAGCAAAACTTTCTAAAATTCTGTCTAGGATTCTCTTCCTATTCGGAAGATAGATGCTAGGCCCATAAGATTTCATGTTATATTCTCATGCACTTGTAGAAATTTATAACTTAGGTGACTTACCTCGGAGCCGGCGCGTGAGCGTGGCGTGGTCATGCTATTCTAAACTCTTTTAAGTATACAGAACCACTAAGTGGCTCTGATACCAACTGTAACACCCCGCCTACTTATTCTAAAAATAATAAAAATCAGAGTAAAATTTTTGTTTTTTATTTTCGGAAAACTCTTTAACTTTATTTTCGAAAATACTCATACTAACTCGCGGGATGCTACTAACTTAAACTCTTTCTCATGCACACGTAAATAAATACATGCAACCTAATCAAATCCGTTATATAAAGGTACCACGGAGATAAAGGCATTAAACATGCATAAGTCTGAAATATCTCATAATACATACTATGTCTGAAATGCGGAGGTCTCATACTGAATGCACGCATAATAATAATAATACATGTTCATATGAACGACATGTAAAATGTGTTACAAAATGTCTGCTCATGACCACGCGCCACTGATGCTCACGCACCACGCGCCGCTCCGCCACCTGAAAAACGTAATGGGGGCGTGAGCAAAATCACTATGCTCCGCAAAGACCAGTACTTAATTATACAACATCGTTAATTTCAATATCATGACTTTAGTATATAAGTACTGAACTGAACTAAACCTGTAACTAGGCTAACTGAACTTAACTGAACTTAATTGAGCTTAACTGAACTGCACTCGACTGAACTCGGCTTAAAGCCGCTCGGCACAAGGCCGCTAGATCATGTGCACACTTTGATGGGTCATTAAGGCCCAACTCGGCCTCCACCAGAACCTAGGATGGGTCATTAAGGCCCAGCTCGGCCTCCACCCGTAGGCGATATAACTGGGCACAGGATGGTACATTAAGGCACGTTAGTGCCTCCACCCTGGCGATATAACTTGACCTAGGATGGCTCATTAAGGCACGTTACTGCCTCCACCCTGGGTGATATAACTAGGCCTAGGATGGATCACTAAGGCCCGTTCAGCCTCCACCCTTGGCGATATAACTTTTCTCATACATACCTCAGACATGGTACGAAAATTGAAGATGATGTATAACCAGTACGTGAACCCCACCTGGTAAACTGCTACTAATGTAAGTGCTGGCTGAATGGTAGCTGTCGGAGGCTCGACTCTCCTTAAGCTACACAAATTATTGAGCAGAAAGTACCAAGTACTGAGCTCAAACTGAAAACTTGATTCTTATTATTATCTGATCTTACTAAGTTCTCTCGCTCGATTATAAAATCATTTAATCTGAATTAGAGGATTTGAGCTATTTTGGAAAGATTTGTTGATTTTGAGACATTCTAGAGTTCTCTGAAAAATTTCTAAGTCTGGTCTGCTTAACTGATTTTTATCTGATCTAGCTAATTCTGATTTGACTTATCTGACTGGGTTCGGAAAAATGCTGAATCTCGGTTCACGCTCACATCGGTATTCTGAACTGCTATTCTCGAATCGTCCAGACTATCCGGACCGATTCGACTGCACTGGACTGGCGGCTCGGTCTGAGGCGGCCGGTTACTCGTCTAACTGGGTGCAAATCGACTTAACCGTGGTCCGGGTACATACGCACGGACACGGCATCAACCGACGCACAACTTTTCTACTCGGATCTAGAGTTCATCTGGACTGACCGGGAAAAGGCCAAACTAGGGTTCTCTACTCAACCGGCTATCTATCTCGGTTCAAGTCAAAACTCAAACTCTAAGTTTAACGTGATTTCTAGTGATTTTAGGCCCAACAACTGCAGTTAATTCTCAACCGGCATAATATCACTATTTTTAATAAAAGCAGCTAAAGCCCCAAATTATTAGGCATATCAAACAGTCTCCAAAATTTATGAAATTTTAAACATAACACATTTAGCATTTATAAGATTTTTCCATAAAATTTCAACGCATTCTGGGGCCTTTAGCATTTTTTTTCAAAAAACCGAGCATATCGACTACATATTAAACAAATTCGGTAAAAATAGTAAACGGGCACCAAAAATCACGAAACTTAACATATCATCTACTTAACATGTATAAATTCCAAGGTCAAAATCTCAAGTCAAGTCAACATATATCACGTTCAACTCAAATTTACTACGACCGACAATTTTACTCGAACCACTCGTTCGCCTATCTAACGGACATTAAAAATTAATCCGATGACATCTTAAGCCTCAAGTCAATGGGATGAATTTATTCATATTTATTTCGACATTTTATCACGACTATATAAAAAGTCCCGAAAAATCGCTTTAAGCTCGTATGTCCCGATTTAATCGAAAAACACTCAAATCAACATCTTTTTGTTTCTTATCTCATTATAATCATCAAGTCTAAGCCATATAATTTAAGTTTTAGCGATTATACCTTAAAATGTTCGAAATCGGCGAATCGAAAAATAGATCGGGCTAAAGAGAGGTAAAAATGGAGCAACCGGTTCGAAAGAGGGCTGCCCGGGTCGAATCTCGGCTATGGAGCTGCTAAACGGGCCGGTTTTTGAGTTGCTCAGTTCAGATCCACTCTCAAAAGCCACAGATCTGTGGAGCTCGATTTTGCTGATGTCCGGGCTTGGAGGCGAGCTGGTCGCAGAACTAGGGTTGAACGGTTGGAAACTCAAATTGAGGGGCTGCTGGTCGTGGAAGGCTACTGGTCGTCGTGCTACAGTAACGTCGGGAAGCTGCGGGACGTCGGAATGGAAGTTGCGAACTCGCTGTGAGAAGCTCGCCGGAAATGGTGGCCTTTTTCCAGCGTGAACTCGTCTGGATGACGCAGAGGGGAGCTGGTGATGGGGTGTCGTCGGAGCTGTGCGTAAGTGGCGGCGAGTTGGTGGTCGCGGGCTGAGGAGAGGCTGAAAGGGCGTGGCTGCGAGTTGCCGGTGTTGGATGGTGGTGGCGAGCTCGGGGAAGATGACGACGCGGCGTGGAGGCGTTGAAACTTCTCGCCGACAGAAGGTGCTGGTCTCGCCGTAGAAGACGAAGGTGGTGGTGGCTGTGGTTGAGCTCACATGGAGACGTGAGCTGGGGCTGCGGTTTTTCCGACGGGGCTGAGGCGGATGCCAGCTCGGGGCTGAGCTGGTGGCGTGCTCGCCGGCAGTGGGTTCGCCGGAGCTAGTGGAGTTGGCCGGAAAATATGAAGGTGAGGGTGCTTGAAGGATTCTTGGAGCTTAGCTATGGAGAGTGGAGCATCTTGAAGAAGATGAATGAATAGTGAGCTAAGGGATAAGATATGTGTGGTGTTGGGAGGGTGAGTTAATGCCACTTGTATAAATGTAAGAGTAAGTTAGGGTTTTGAGCTCATTTTGGGCTTGCCATTGGGCTAAAAGACTTGGGCTCGGTTTTAATTTATCTAGGGCTTAGGAAAATAAATACTACTACTTAGACCGAATAAATAATGTTAGGCTCGGTTTTAAAATACTACTCGGGCTCGAAATACTAAATACTAAGCTGGTCGAGATAAGATATATTCGAGTAAATTAAAAAAATGTCTCGATTTAAAATAATCTATCGAGACTTAGACTTAGGATTTTTATCTCGTTTCCGAAATAATAATTCAAACGTTTTTCTTATGGCTTAGACTTGAAATTAAATAAATTATGTGATTAATATTAAAAATTCTTGGCATAATTAAAATTTAATTAATTTTAATAAATAAAGTCGAGCTACTAATATAATTTTGGGTCGGGGCTTACACTAAGGTTTAATAAAGTGGTGTATATTTTTGCCAACTTGAAAAATAGTGTATAAAATTACAATTTTCTAAAAAAGCTCATGGTTTTATGAGCAAGTCATATTATTGTTATGCTTGTCCCACTCCCATCCCACGAAGGAACCACAATAAAAAAAAAAAAAAAAAACCGGAAATGAAACCTTATCCATTTGAAAACAGTCGATATCTGTAATGCCTGGGAATCTGTCTGTCTGTATATGATGAGGTTAGCAGCTTTCGCTCACATAGAAAAGATCTCCTTTTTTCATTAATTTCTCATAATTTCACACCAAAAATGCTTCTGCAGACCATCACACCCGCTCTCCCGTCGCCGTTGAATTTCCGTCGTGGAAAGCCGTCGCTCAAAACTGTCTTCTTGCCTCCTCTCCCCACAAAATTCTATCTGCGGCCTAAATCATCCTCCATCTCTGCTCATCCCCGTAATACAAGTGTGAATGCGACTCTGCTCCAGACTCCGGTGGTCTTGTGGGCCGGCCGCCTCTGCGTCTTTTATGCTCTTCTCAAAGCTGGCCTCGCTGGATCTCCCACTAATCCGCTTGTTTCAGGTAAATTGGTAGACGTTTTTAGCGGGTTGCTTTAGGGTTATTTATTTTATTAATTTATTTGATTTTTTTGGCATACTTGTTAGATTTGGAAAGTGGAGCTGATGATTTAGGGTTCGCTAAGTGGTTTGATAAGTTGAGCAAACCAGGTAATATTTTTTGGGATTCTCTTGGAGAAATTTAGTTATTGTTTCCTGCAATTGAATTCGTCGACATCTCAATTTTATATCTGTAAAGGCGTTTGGAAATTGTGGTTTTAAACTAGTGGACATTATACACTTGAGACTGTTAATCTTCTTGTTTGTTGAGCTTATTGTATATCGATTTGTCTCAGTCTATGTGAAATGCTTTATACTTCTTTTGCATCCACAACCGATTCAGGTTCTTAGAGTTGATTCCGGAGCCATTGAAGGAAATGTAGCTTGTTTTGCATGAAAATGACTTGAATAGTTGATGAAAAAGATTGTTAGACAATATTTATCCTGAGCGTGGTGAAGATGAGCCAAAGGAAGGGACGTGGGGATCGGGAGAATTGTTTTTCCAGAATGCATGAATTCATTCTCAAAAGATATGGATTCATTCAGTGAAAAGATTTTCAGACATTTTCACTCGTTTCTTTCTACAGTAGACTGTAGAAAACAAATTTGTTTGATGATATTATTCCTATCAGAAATGAGTATTTTTTTTTTATTTTTATTTTTTCTTTTGGATGTGGTTAATAGACAATGAGCCAGATTCTGATTCAACTGAGGAATACTTTCTATCGGTTTAAGATTATAGTGTCCGAGGATTAGTGATAATCATCTCTTATTCTAATTAGAAAAGGAGGCAGTTGAGAGAAGAAAGTTGGTCAGCAAATGGCACCCCACAACAAAGGGTACCCTTAGGCGCAACTACAGGGTTCCCTCTAAATCCGAAGGGAAGCGTCTGCTTAAAGCCATTGCATCTGTATTGTCAGATGATGACCAGTTTAGAGATGCCACATCACACAAGGTAATGCTAGTTCATACTCCCTTCCAACCTTCTTCAGGCCTTTTGCAAATACTTGAATACTTCAGCTAGTTTCGAAGGTCGATCTATATTTAAAATTCTGCATAATTTACTGTAAGAAGTTCCTTAAACTTCTTTTTCTTCAATGCTTCTGCTATTCTTTTGAAAAAAAAAAAAAAAAA